CACAGAGATAACTAAGGTAAAGGAAGAAACTTGTGGAAACAGGAATAGAAATATTTACCGTGAACAGTACTTTTTGTAGATTTAAAAAAAATATGTAATTGTACATTTTCATGCCAGCAGCACATCTCAAAAAAGCTGGGACGGGGGCCATGTTTACCACTGTGTATTGTCCCCTCTTCTTTGAACAACAAACTTCTGGGATCAAACTCCTGGGAGTGGGGAACTCCCAGAAGACTAGCTTGACTTTTGGGAGATGTTGTGCTAGTCTTGTCTGATATAGGATTTTAGCTTGGTCCTGTATCTTTGATTTCATTATGTACCAAACGTTTTAAGTTGGTGAACGTCTGGACTGCGCTCTTATGGACAAAGATCTTGGATGTTGTTCCTGGGATCTGCTGGAGCCGCTCACCCAGCTTGGGAGTCACTGGACCGAGTGCTCCGATTACTGCCACTGTTAACTTCACCCTCCAAATCTTCTCGAGCTCTTTTCTCAGGCCTCGGTATTTCTCAAGCTTCTCATGTTCCTTTTTCCTGATGTTGCTATCAATCGATGAAGCTACATGTATCACTACAACTGCTTTCCTCTGCTTGTCCATCACTACTATGTGCGGTTGCTTAGTCATCACCAGTTTGTCTGTCTGTATCTGGAAGTCCCACAGGATCTGGTAGTATTTCTGGATGTCAGCCACTTCTTCTAACTGACAGGTCGCTGTACATACCGTACAGCAGCCTGTCCTTCCATGATGGTTCCTCTCCTTGCTCCGTTTCTTTCTCAGGTTTCTGCCGCCTGAGATAAATAAATAAGCATGCGGTCAGTTGTGGCTATCTTGCTGATGTACTCATAGATGTTTGTCTCAGTGGTTCTGACACCCACTAGTCCTCGTCCTCCTTTCTTTTGCTTAGCATACAGTCTCAGGGAGCTGGATTTGTGGTAGAAACCATCAGCTACTGGTATGCCAGTACCAGTGTACTAGCAGCTGGATAATTTATGTTTCATGGAGTGCAGTCCGGTTCTTCAGTCAGTAGGCGTGAATCATGTCTTGATGTCAATCATCATGTGATGCTATCCAGCTCATCATACTGGAGACCCTTTCTTAGATGCCTGCCACTGTGATGCTTACTGGATCCGGTTCAGGGAGGTTGCTGTGATCTGCTCTTAAATCCACTAGCCACTGTGGATTGCTGTTATGGGTTTTGTCCTTCTTCAGTATGCTCTTCCCCTATTTCTCCATCTGCTGTCTTGGTGGAGCTGTTCTAATATTGTTCCCCTGCCACTGAGAATACACCTTGTATCCCATCCTGTCTGAGGGTTTATTAACAACAAACCACTACAGGAAAATTGTTCTGAAATTGTTTCACAATTTCTAGATTTTTATTATTATTATTATTATTATTATTATTAATTTTATTTTTTATTTTTATTTTTGCAGATTTGTGAACCTCTATCCATCTTTACTTAATATTTTACAACTTCTGGGTTCCAGGGTATAACTTTTTACTACTTTTGATTTTAACTTTAAAGACAACTTACTTTCATTTTATTTTACATGTCTGAATTAAATTTGTTTTGACATGCTGTATGAGCACAATTGATCTAAAATCACACACACACACACACACACACACACAAACTAAAATCAGAGTAGGAAAAAACAATATTTATTACTGTAAAAACAACGAACATGTAGGAATTCAAATATAAATTGTAAATTTATACAATAAGGTGTCACAATAAGATGGCACACAAATCATTTGTGCCACTACAAAAAATAGTTTCTGTCCACCACAAGACAGAGGAGCACATCATGAGCCTGACAGCAGGTGTATCACTCCTCCCGTATTTCACCTGGAGACAGAATTTACATTGCTATCTGCCTTTGGTGGCTTTTTGGCAGCAGCTGTCACATTCAGTAGTGCCCTTATTGTTTTGACAAACAAAACAAACGACTACACTACACACTAGCATGTTTGGAGTGTGTCGTTAAATGTCAGAAATCTCTTACATCTCAAAATTCACTATCGATGTCACTCTCTCACCGCGGTCACTGCCAAAATTTCCCCCTATACCTAAACAACCAAATGCCACGTGTTGCCATATAATTTTTTGATTAGTCGACATGGTACAATGTTTTCCTGAATAGGAAAGGGGTTTTGTGTTTTTCTTTTCTTGCGTTTTCCCTCGCTGCTCTTAGAAAATGCCGTTCTTATCGTTTCTTCCCACACTAAAAGTGACGATAGTATTGAGGAAAAAGGATTGAGTATATTTATTTTTATCATAACTCTGGTTTTACGTGGTCCATCCACACTATTTATTTATTTATTTATTTATTTATTTATTTTTACCTGTCCCGTTTGGATCTTTAGCCATGAGAATTGTTGTCTGAAGGCCAAGAAAGATGCCAAGCGGATTTACTTTACCAAGTGGATCATCATGGCCTTGCCATATTGGTCGTTTGGTTGACCTTTATTATAATTATGTATTTATTTGATTTGATTTTTGGTTGCTACAAACGGGACAGACATGACTGGGGGATAGGACAGGGAGAAAGAATGAAAGAAAGAGAGGGAGAGAAAGAAAAATAGAGGAGAGAAGAGACGGTGAGAAAGGGGGGAGGAAAGAAAGAAAAACAAACAAAACACCTGGATCACCTGTATGGAGATGAGAAAAAAACAGAAGAGAAAACAAACAAGAAAGAGCAACATAATAAATACAACACCATCACAATATACTAGCTAACAGTAGATAACAGTAGATACTAATATCAACTAACTAATATTACATGTTATTGTGCAGCACACAAGATCGACAGCGCACAATGTGCATTGAGGTAGCAGCCAAGAAAGGTGTAGTTTGTGTCTGTGAACACCTGTGTGCACACCTGTGTGGATCAGCACGCTTGTATTCAAAAGGTTTCTCCATGTATCGATCTAGTAGGGAGTGTGGGGACTCATAGCCCCGTCCCCCAGGGCATGAAGCAGGTATGAAGAAGATCCAGGCCCCAGACATCCAGCGGCCCCAGAGTACGAGGACCCAAGGAGGACCACCACCACAGGGGCAACTGTGCCACCCTCCTGGGAAGAGCTGAGGAGAGCCCCAAATGAGAGGTCACTCAGCAGCCACGGAGCAGAGGCCAGAGGGGGTTGCAGTGACATGCCCGTGGGCTCTGCCGGTAGCCAGCTGTGCCAGAGAGGACCGGGCCTCAGGCCCAGAGGCCTGAGGGCACCCCACTCCCCCGGAAGAGGCCCAGCCGGGCCACAGGCGCCAGGCCCCGCCAATCGGCCACCAGGAGTGAGTCGGTACATAAATGAGCGCCCAGACACCAAGAACCACCAACACACCAACGTCTGAGGGCATCAGCCACTGGCAGGGAGTGTGGTGAGGGGAGACAGGCCTCCATAACTCGGAGAGCCTGGGATGTTCCCAGAGAGGTGGGAACACAATTTCCACAACATCCACACAATTTAAAACATGTGTATAGTTTGAAGTCTGCACTTTCAACCCAAATTGAACTAGAGACTCAATGTGGCTGTATCTTGTTGCTATGTCATCTTAAATCGCTCATGTAATGTGTATTAATACATTGAAAAAATGTTTGTTTGTTTTTATTATTTTTTGTGAGCTTTAGTTACCTGCTCCCCATTTTTTTAGACATGTTGCTGGCATAAATTACAAAATGAGCTAATTGCTCTTCATGAACTAGTAAAATGTATCTATTTAAACATTTGATATGTTTTCTATTTTTTTACTTTGAATAAAATATGAAACTTATGAAACTTTCAAATCGTAGCATTCTGATTGTACTTACATTTTAGCCAGTGTCCCAACATTTTTGGGAGTTGGGTTGTATTTTTAAACTCATGTTCAATATCATATTTGTATCAGTGTGTTTCAGTAGCGTTTTAAAGAGGAAAAACAAAAAGTGAATCTACTGTCTCTGGCCACACTGGCCTGATATGCCCAGTATGATGCATCAGTAATGCCAAACTTCTCCCAGAAGCAATTCCCGACCCTATAGCCATCTTAAAACACCTCTATGCATTTACGTGGGCTTTTTACAAAATGTTTTGAATGCACATTTATTTCAGTGATCAGAAAGACCTAAAAGGAAATGCAGGAATCACTAGTCAAATCAAGCTTTAAATTTAAATAGAAATGTCACTTTTCCGATCAGTAATGAATAAGGCTTAATTAAAAACCCATAATTAAAAGCTCGCGAATCCATTATTGAATTGTCACGTGTTGTCTCCATATTCACTTGCTGTAGGTGGAATCTTAAATGTAAGTAACTACTAAACATTTACAACACTGGGGGGCGGGGGGTGATTGGGTGTGTAACACCACACGTTATAAAGGCCCGCACTTTTACGGTTTGTGCAAACCTATCAGAACGCGAGGCCGCGAGTGCGTCATTCACACGTCAGGACAAACATTATCAGTTTGTTTGCTAACACAGAGTTAATATTATTTTCGTAAAATGGATGAAATGGGCAGCGCAGGATAAAGAACAGCCCACCGTGGTGCGGAGCTGTCCGTGGTGCTGAAAACTGCCTTTACCTTCTCTCGCTTTTGTTTTTTGACAACTTATGGAATGAAAAACCTGAGCTGGCAAATACTTTAGTTGGATTCCTTCTGAAACCACCCTTTTATTATTTTTTTTCTATTATCTAGAAGAATAAGTTAGCTTTTCTAAATATACAAATTATTTATAATATTATTTAAAAGAAAAATGTTGATTTGTGTCAATATTAAAGCAACAATCCTTAAAATCGATAATACAACATCACTTATGGTGGTATTAATACTTGTCTTACAGATTTTAGTTAAGCGTCAAAAGCTGTAATTCATTTTGCACAATCCAATTACTAAAATCTGTTAAACAGGTTTTGTTTTAAATCAGCTTTAAAGTTTAATTATCAGATATTTTATTGCTGTTATAGATTGAATTGAATGTTAGTTCTTGTTTTTTTCTGCATTATTACGCTCTTAGAATAAAACAGTGTAACAACTACCAACTGAGTTTTATTGGTTTGTTGATAACAATCATACACAGTTACATCTATAAACAAATCATGAGAAACCGCACACTTGTACTTGACACAAATACCTAAAACCCACATGAATATTGCTACTGCTGGTATGCATTTGACATTTCAAATAAATGTACAGTTTGTTGGCCTTTAAGCCAATCTATTTTTTTAACGGTTACATACCACATTAATGTGGCCCAAAAAGAAAAGAAAAAAAAAGAGGAACAAATTCCATTTTTACCATCCTTACAAAGTACCATTACACACTGCATACAGAAAGATTGAAATCCTTTTTCACAGCAACTATACAAATTCATTGCAATGCTATCACAGAACAGACACAACCAACACACGCAATGCACAGTTCTGAAAGAGAGAGCCGCAGTACTAGGGGTTTTAGGTTTATTGGTCAGATTTGTTAAGAAAACTGCATCAGTACAAGAGTTAACAAATAGGAACAAAGCTTTTACACACACCCTAAAACACTGTTCTTCAATAAAAACAATAAGAGAATGAGGTGCCCTGTGACTTTGTCAAGCCCCACCCCGGCACAGATTACACACACTGTCCCTTATAAAGCATATGGAATGTAATCCACGCAGGCAAGCTCTTCCAGTTGTTTCCCCAGCTCCTGTGAACGTCATGCTTGTGTGCCGACACGGTAACCTGTCCCGCACCCTCCACTCCTTCACATTTACACAAACTGAAAAATAAAATAAAATAAAAAAATCCACTGACAGTAACAACAATGACCGCAATTTTCATGGCGATGCACAATTGTGAGATGTGATGAAATTCCCCGTCTCCAATTGACTTGTTTTTTTTCCCCTCTTTCATTTAAAAAAGTGTTCTCTACAATCAAACTACTAAAAAAACCTGTATTTAGAAAATAGTTGATAAAAATATTCCCCTGAATTGTACAAGAAAAGAGGTACAGGGAGCACTGGTAAAAGACGTGGCTTGAGAGATGTTATTCTGCTGCCTTATCTTTTTGTTCAGCTCCATCTGTAGTGGGTGCCTGTAAGATGACATTCAGAGTTTAACAGCACCGCCAAGAAGACTATTATCTTTCGATGTGTTTAAACGTGTCGCAGCACTTACCTCTTCCTCAGCTTTGGCTTCGCCATTCTCAGCAGGAGCCTCCGGCGCCTTCTCTTCTGGCTTGGCCTTTTCCACCTCCTTAGCTTTCTTAGGCTTAGCAGGTCCCTTCTGCAAAAACAAATATTAACCACATATTAGCCACCATATGCTAACAGTTCAGGTCTTATGAGAAGTAATTAAAATGAGACCCTACCTTTGGCTTAGGTTTGGGCTCTGGCTTTGCAGTTTCAGGTCTCTGTGAGTAAAGAAGATCATTTTCTTTTAAACCAAAAAGAATAACACAGTAAAAAAACAGCATTTTATCTATGCTTCTCCATACTTACATCTTTCAACCTGAGAGATCTCCTCTTGGGCTGCAGAGAATAAACAAACATAGTGATTACTTTTAACAGTCAGTCTCAGGCAATGGCTTTGAAAGATGAGATATTACTGACCCCTGGTGAGTGTGGAGGCTAACTGTTAAAATATCTAAAACCAAAAAACAAGAAATTCAGAAATGACTGCTTACCTCTGAGTCACCTGCACCTGCCTGTAAGGAGAAGAAGAGAAAAAGTAAATAAATCAGATTATGATAACTGTCTGCATTCTGCTGTGCCTCTGATTGATTTATCTGGTACTGGGTGAGGACAGTTTTTTTTAATAAGTTATTATCCTATTTGAGTTGAGTAAGGTAATACATGCAAGGCCATTTAAAAACTAAAAGCAGTTTAATCAGCATGTTAACACTAAATGCTACTCCTTCAGGAACTACATTTTCCAGCGCAACGATAACTGAGCAGGAATAAAGTGCCCTGTAACATGCTGGCCTACAAAAGTCAGGGCAATATAATAGCATAATGTAGTTTAAACTGAGTCACGTGGTGCTGCTCTCCCAGCTCCTGCTAGTGATTTGCCTACAGTAATACTTCAGTGGAGGAGGGGGCCGACTCCGCCTCCTCACGACACATTCGTTCATTGGTAATAAATGGGATTGCCAGTGGCCGGAGAAACCCGAGCAGCGTAGCCAGTGTTCCCGCCACGAATTTGAAAAAGAATATCTCCGAGATGCTCTGCGACTCTGTCGGTCTGCATGCAGAATCTACTAGAACCCCCAGCAACAGGAGCAGCGCTGTGCTGACGGAGGCTCGCCATTGCATAACCTACAACTGGCCTGAGCCGACAATACACAGAAAGCCTCTCGGCTAACGAGCCGTACGCCTTCCAAGAACTGCGTTTTCGCTTGCCGTGCATTAATAAACAACGCCTGCACACTAACTTTATAAAACAATATCGCTAATCAAAGCGTATTATGTGTTTGTTTGTTTTGTCCGACAAAAGAACTACAGAGGCCACTTTGTGCCCGCATTAAAAATAATGTTACAGCCAACCGCAACAGAATAATAAACCAATTAGGAATTTTGTACGGGTTTTTTTCGCTACTGGGTCTTCTTTCAGGAAAACTTTCGCATCCAGGGTGACGACCCCAACAGAAAACAATCGATATGCCGCCAACTTTCTGCGCAGAAAAGCCATCTATCGGCACGGTAAATGAATTCGATGCAGCTGCACAAACTGTTTTTCTGCTATAAAACGGGCAACCACTTGCCGCCGACAGTCACTGCACGAAAGAGAAGCTTCAATAATTAGCCGCTTGACAAAATCAAAACAGACACTACATGCTAACTAAACTCCGCGATACACAACACTGCTGTTGACGTTCACTTGGTACATAAAACGGACATATTGCAGCAACGTTTGAACAACTCTCGCCACAAGCCCCTTAACAAATTTTAGTTGTGGGTTATAAATACTGTGTTATTAAAGGCATGAAAGATAATGGTCTACTCACTTTGCTCCTTTTAGGCATGGTTGGTTTGTGGGTTTAAAAATAGCTAAATGTAACTGAATACAGGAGAAAGTACAGTGGTATATTCTGGATAAAGCTTTGCCAGTACAGTCTAATACAGCGCAGGGAGACGTTAATGTTCCATTGGAAGAAAAACTAGCTCAAACCGGATTGGATTCTCCCCCTACCTCCCTATTCAAACAGTTATAGTTCCTGCATGATTGACGGCGCTTCTGCCCGCCCACGCTGCACGCTGATTGGAGAACACAGCAGTCGGCAACACCATTTCAAATCTGTGCCCTTATCCGTGTGGATACGTGACACGTCAGTCAACAATTATGGTGAGGTATTTGTCTTTCTGTGCAGCCGTCTGCTAAACAAGGCAAAATTGTCATTAAAGCCGTCTTTCAGCTGGCCAGAAACGTCTTAATTTTCTCTCTAAACGTTCCACGGCTTTGAATTATGTCTATGTGCGCGAAAACAAAACACATTTTGCGTTTACAGTGCTAGTGTGGAAAGACTATCCATTGGCATATGACTGTGAGAGGGGTGTGTACTCCTCGAGCCAAGTCTTTGTAGTTTAGCTTGGGAAAATGGCGACAGGATACGTGTGGGTACAGCTTCTTGCCTCTGTGTGTGCTCTTGTGCAGCCCTTCTCATGCAGTCATCGTCCACTTGCTCAATGGTGTGCATACAGTCCAAACATGACTTCACTGGAAACAAGTGCGTTGGCTTTGTGCTGAAGTCATTTCTCACGGTTCGGCAGGGGACATTTATTCATTTCCCCTGAGTGAATGACACTACCCTGACACGGTTACCTCTTACTTCTTTACCGCCCTGAGAAAAATACAGCTGCAAAAATACAACTGCTCATGATCAACTACATACATGGGAAATGCTTAAATATTTTCTGGAACAGATGAATACTATGATAAACTAAACTGTTTCTGTGTGTAAGTGACAAATGATTTATTTATTTACTTTTTTTTTTTTTTTTTTTAGCTCATAACCGTTTCTGTAATTTCTTAAATTAATAATTGTTAATTTATCCCATTTCTAGACTCTCTTCCTATTAGAATTTTCTTCAATTTTGCAAAGAATAATGTCTCTAGACAGGCTACTGTAATAGAGAATTGAAATAAATTTAGCATACAAACACTGCATTTGGGTGTATTCCCTAGATACAGTGATCAGGAAGCATAACCATAATATATATTATATTGCACAATATTGTGTAGGTGCACCCTGTGCTGCCAAAATAGACGTGTCAGGGCATGGACACGGGACTGTTGGCACCAGTGTTGGTAAAGTTACTTTGAAAAAAGTAATCAGTAACTAATTATTGATTACTTCCCCAAAAAGTAATCCCGTTACTTTACTGATTACTTATTTTCAAAAGTAATTAATTACTTAGTTACTTTTTAAAAACACGATTTACAACCTGAAGAGGTGATAAAGCGATAGATCTTTCAGCCCAATTCTACTTTTTCTGCATAATCCATCATACAAAATGTAATCAGATGGAAAAGTCTCTTTTTTTTAAACTTGTTTTATCAGTTTTAATCTTTTAACTTTATGCATCAAACAAAAATTTAATTATATGCAACATTCTCTGACTTGCATAAATTCGTTTAACATTTAAACCTATTTTCTGCACATTCCAGCACATAAAATAAAATATTTTTGCGTGTTTACACTCAGTCTTTCAAATAGATGCAAGTAAAACACAGCAGAAAATAAATAAAGTCAAAGACTCAGCGGTCCTGTTGCTCTATTTTCACCTGTAAAGCAGGACTGCGGTAGGCGGAGGTTTACCCTGGTGCTGGTCAGTTGAAGAATCCGCGAGTTTCTCTGTGAATTTCCCATTACGTCGTTGCGCACTCGGTGCTTGCTTGGAAGTTTAGGGCTTTTTTTCGCTGTAAAAATTTTCTTCTCACGCACGACGGACACTAATGTTTTTGTCACTTTTTATGGAATCAAACTCAAAGTAAGGTCAGTACTTCCACGCTTTAAACGCTGCACGCTCATACTCTCTCCCACAATCGATATGTGATCCATTGTTGATCTGCACACAGCTGTTGTCACTAAGGCTACGCTCACACTGTAGGTCTTAATGCCCAATTCCGATTTTTTGATCAAATCCGATTTTTTTGTCTGCTCGTTCACACTACAAATAAAATGCGACAGCAAACGCGCTCTAGTGTGAACGCTCAAAGCGGCCCGCATGCGCAAAAGAAGACGTCATACACAACACGCTCTGTTTAGACCCAGAACAAACTATATTGTTTGACTGATGGCCTTATTAATATAAAGACTTTGGACTTCATGTTTCCCGATTTTTGCTTTAAGTTATTTTGTTATTTACATAATAATGTAAATAACCTAATAATGATCCTTATTGCTGTTTTAGAGGAGCGGTGCTTCAAAGGATAGTTGCAGATTTCTGTCAGAATCTGCAGGTTATACAGTACAAATAAAATGTTAACGTTTCTCCAACGTTGTCTTCCCAGCAGTTTCACCGGATGGCCAGGAAGCGTTCACGATGTCTTCTCTGGCGCTGATAATTGGCGTCTGTCTTGTGTCAGTGACGTAAAAGACGGATTTAATGCGACTTGACCGTTCACACAGCAGTCGCGTTCTGAGACATCGGATATGTATCGGATTCAGTACCACATACGAAAGTGACCCAGATCGGATTTGAAAATATCGGATTTGTGCCGTTCACACTGTCAGACCAGGATCGGAAATGGGTCGCATAGGGTCAAAAAAATCGGATTTGATGCGCTTTCGCCTGCAGTGTGAATGTAGCCTAACTGTGCACTCGCTTACGTCACTGTCGTGAGACATTCTCGCAAAAATCACAGTTTTTGTAACGCAGCGTTACTACAGGAAAGTAACGGTAATCTAATTACCGTTTTTGCAATAGTAATCCCTTACTTTACTCGTTACTTGAAAAAAGTAATCAGATTACAGTAATGCGTTACTGCGCATCTCTGGTTGGCACTATGTACTATTTTGACTATGCCTGCCCCAAAGCCAAAAACACTTTGCAGTTAATCATGTTGTTCTGGGCACAAAGTTGTCCAGCAGGGTTACCATTCTCCTAGAATAGTTTCATATTTGTAATCTGCAGTAAATGCAAAAACACCACAATTTCTTCCAATTTTGCATCATTATTTGTAAAAGAAGCAACAACCAGTGTAATACCTCTGTGTGCTGCAATAATGTATTTTGCACTGTAGAGCACACTGTGTATGAAATTATACTGGAATAAGTATTTTGTTTTTTCCTTAAGTAAAAGCTAAAATATCAATATGTAAAAATACTCTGAACAACAAAAAACCTTGCATTTAAAATTCTAACTAAGCAAAACAAGTAAAAGTGCACATGTGTGCTGCTGTGCAGTGTTGTTGTTGGAAATTGAATTTCCTTTGGAGTATTTCATTACATTCTATTTATATCTATTATTCAGTGTAAACAGACATCTGTAAAATGTGTTTGTAAATTCAATTCAGTTTTCAGAATGTACAACGAAACCATTATTTCATTCAATTTCATTTCAAATTGTACATTAACAATGACAATAAAGGGCTAATCATAACATCAGTTGTGTCAAGGCACTTTATATTGTAAGATAAAGCAGCAGCGTAGGTCTATTATAGCATAACAAAGGATACAGGGTCCCCTGATCCAACCTTAACTAGATGCTTTGTCAGAAAGGAAGGCTTTATGCCTAAAGTAGAGAGGGTGTCTGTCTCCCAAATCCAAACTGGAAGCTGGTTCCACAGAAGAGGAGTCTGGAAGCTGAGGGCGCTGCCTCAAATTCTACTTTTAAATACCCGAGGAACCACAAGTAAACCAGCAGTCCACGTGTGTTTTCATTTGTAAACGCATCATTTTCTCTCCATTTTGGCCTCCCGTCCACACTGAGACGGCGCTTTTGCTCATGGAAAACGCAGCGTTTTGGAAACCCTCTCGTAAACGCATACATTTGAAAACGGTGCTTTTGCGTCGCAGTGTGTACAGTGAAAACACAGACTTTCTAAAACGATGAGGCATGTTAGTCATGTGATGCAGTCATGTGACCAATTAAACTAAGATAACGGAGGGCATTACACAGCAGTTGTTTTGTTTGCTCTCAGTTTGACAGCCCTATTAAAGATTAAATTCAGTATGTACACGCTCCAGATAGCTTTACTTAAAATTCTTTAACTCTCACTCGCGTTTGCAACTTTGTGTTTTTGTGTTACCCGCAGCAACAGCACCTCATTGTTAGTCCATTTAAAAAACTCGGTGCTTTTCCTCGACATTTTGCCGCGACTTTTCAAAGAGCCGGAAGGAAAGTAAATAAGCAGCAGACAGAAATGAGGCAAGATGAATCTTCTTGCGCTTCACGCATGTGCAGGACTGGAAGGTAAGCGTTTTTGACCGTTTCAATGTGGACGCACAACTGCAACGCTAGTGTGGGCACGGAGCGTTCTCAAACGAAAGCGCCATTTTCAAATCTATCTGGGCGAGTGTGGATGTTGCCTGAGACTGAAGTGCTCTATTGGGGCGATTCGTTACTATGAGGTCTTTAAGATAAGATGGGGCCTGCAGACCTGCAGTCACCTTTCAGAAAGGTCCCAGGGGCCCGATACACAGCAGGTGCAGTACGGATTAAAAGGTTACAGGTTACTATTGTTTACATTCAGTGCCGCCATCTTTGATTGCTAACTTTTGCTGCTTCGATTTGCAGATTGGAAAGTCTGAGGTGAGTGAGTCTTCCACAAAAAAAATTCAGACTGGGAACTCGGAATTTCAGATTTTTTCTGTAACGCACCATTAGAACAACCTGATCATTACAATAGTTGATCCTAGAAGTTATAAATGCATGAACTAGTTTTTTAGCATCACTCTGAGTCAAGATGTTTCTACTTTTAGAGATATTGTTTAAATTACACATTTGTTTAATGTGCACATTGACAGACATATCCTGGTCAAAACGATTCCTCACAGTGTTCCTGGAGGCCAAGGTCGTACCATCCAGGGTAAGAATATGGCTAGACACCATGTTTCTAACTAAAAATGTATGCTATGTTTTCAAATGATAAAAGGAAGCATGTATAGCATGTATATTGTAAATAGAATTGCTCAGAGCACTGCAAAAAAGTAAAAGAGCCCAGAGTAGCAGCCTGGACTCCAATTTATTAGATCCCAAACAGATCGAGATGTGCATG